CCAACAAGATGCTGTAGTCGTTTCTTTTCTTGTACATGTCACCTAGGCACATCTACAAACCAACCGAGGTGAAACCCGAACTCATCAGTCAGGATAAAAACGATCTAATCATGGCTTAGAAATTTATTATAATTATTCGTCCCTTGGGTACCAAGTGGAACATAACGCTTCAGTAGCACGTCATTATTTCACTCTTTTCTCCCCAGTCTTTTCAGCCTGGCTCAGAAACTGCCCACAAGCTTTCATTTATTCCTCATACGATCTCCTTCATGTCAATCTCAGCTGGGACGCCCAACTCGTCGTTTCCCATTTGAATTCCACTCGACGGCCTGGCCTGGAGCGTGATGTCCCCAAACGGTCTTCTCACTCTATGTCTAATCTAATCCAATCCATCTCCACTCTTTTCTTCTGCATATTTGTTGGACGATGGCTTCTTGCTTCGTTGCCAGCCAGCCAGCCAGCCAGCCAGCCAGCCAGCCAGCCAGCCAGCCAGCCAGCCAGCCAGCCAGCCAGCCAGCCAGCCAGCCAGCCAGCCAGCCAGCCAGCCAGCCAGCCAGCCAGCCAGCCAGCCAGCCAGCCAGCCAGCCAGCCAGCCAGCCAGCCAGCCAGCCAGCCAGCCAGCCAGCTAGCTAGCTAGCTAGAGTTCCTTCTTACTTATTCTTGTTTTCCTGGCCATCCATCCATCTGATCTGATCCTCGGTATCCAGCCAGCCTACATACCAGCTATTGATGAATGTCTGTAGTTTGTTGGAAATGCTTTGCGTAACCTGCCAAGTTTCTGAACCATCACATAGAAGCACTGATTTACTTGACCGAATTAGTGTTTACAATCCGGATGTTGTTAACGCTTTATGCTGAGTGCAGTGCAGTGCGGTGCAGTAGATCTCCACACTGATCATCTCAGATTAGTGCAGGAAGGCCTGTGTTGCTGTCTTTCCGATCCTGGCTGGCTTTGACATCATCATCTGTACCGCCACCACCTATATTTGAAACGATGCTGTCTGGTTAGGTAGGTAGGTGGAAGAGACTACTTCCTTTAGGTTTCTCCCGATCATGGTGACTAGTGTTTGTTGCTGTTGATGGTGGTGTTAGTTGGGTATCATCACCACCTCTGTCTTCTCTACGTCCACCTGAAGGAAGTTTCATCTTCTCTGCCCCGCCCTACCCTGCCTCTTCTGTCAACCTGTTGTTTTTTACCTGTAGATCTTCGAGTTTGTGCGACAAGACATTAGACATAAATCACCATCGGCAGCTAAATCCAAATCTTCTAGGGTCTTTTCATCGGTCAAACAGCATGTGCCTATCTTCTCACAGAACCTCAAGATTTAATGCATGACCCAGTCCACCGCAATGAGGAAGATGATCGGTGATAGTAAGTGGCAACCTTGTCTTGCTCCTTCCTATCTTCACTTCAAAGTCGTCACTGAGCTTTCCATTGTGAATCACTAGGCATGTGGCGTCTTCATATAGTTGTTGAATGAGGTTGATAAAGATTCGTGGCGCTAAAACCGTAGTGTTGAAGCAGCGCCTTCCAAATTATTTGTCGGTCGACGCTGTCAAAGGCCTTTTCAAAATAGATGAAATTGAGGTAAAAAGCTGAATGCCTTTCCACGCTCTGTTCTATGGTGATGAGTAGTGTCGCAATCGGGTCCGCACTTGATTTGTACTTCTTGAATCCAGCATGTTCCGGTCGTGGTTTTGAATGCAGCGGATCCTTTAGTCTCTCCAGGATGATGCGGTCCAATATTTTGCTTGGGGTGGACAGCAGCATAATTCTGCGCCGTTTCTTGCAGAGACCTAAGTCATCCTTCTTCGGAAGTTTGACAAGGTAATCCTTCTTCCAACCTACAGGTATGTTTCCTCCCTTCATTCCAAACCTTCTGCAGTAGTGGTGTGAGCATGTCCGCTGTTCTCTCTGCGTCTGTTTTCAATGCTTCTGGCGGAATTCCATCTGGTGTTGCTGCTTCACCGGATTTCAGCAGCTTTATGGCATTCAGGACTCTGGCTTTTGTCAGAGGGCCTGTGTTCACTGGTAATTCTGTGGCTGCAGGTGGTATTTCTGGCCGCCGATTCAAGAGTTTTCTAAAGTGATCAACCCGTTGTTTCCTGTTTCTCCTCTTTGATAACCAGGTTTCCTCCATCATCCTTCATTCATTTCGTCTGCGTTGATCTTTCCCCAGACAGTATCTTGGTTACTTGATACGTTGTCAGGTCTCTTCTACCAGCAGCTTGTTCTGCATCACTTGCCAATGTGTCGTAGAAGTGTCTTTTGCATCTCCAATCACTCTTCTTCACTTCTTCGTCCAGTGTAATGTTTTGTACGTTGTACTCAGTTCCTATTTTCCTTGTTCATCCCTCCTTGCACTGGTTCATCTTCTGCTTCACCATCCTCCTCTCCCTGCTCTATCAGCTTCCATGTGTCCATCGAGATGCATTCCTTATCTTCTTTCTTCTTCCTTCCTAATACGGTTGTGCAGGTTTATTTCCACATCTCTTTCAAAGACTTACAGTGTTCTTCCACACAGATTCCTTCAGGGGTGCTGCTCGACATCCCCCATTTTGTCTCGATGACTGACTGCCGTGAAGAGTTTCTTTGTAGTTTCGTCCTCCAGTTTCTGTCCTGAGTGTTCAAATTGAACTGTGGTCCATCACCAACTTCTTTCAATGCTTTTAACTTGATTTGGAAGGTTCCTTGCACTAGATGGTGAGAGGTCTAAACCTACATCTGCTCCCCTTCTTTATCTGATCTTGTGTCCAGTAGGCTGCGTCTCCGACTCCAATTTCTGCAGATTGAGATGTAGTCGATATGATTTTTAGTGTGTGCATCTGGTGAAACCATATCCATGTCGCTTTGTGAATATCCTTGTGTTTATACACACGGCCTCCAATCACCAACTCGTTGAATGCGCAGAAATCTGCAAACAGTTCTCCATTCTCGTTCACTTTACCTAGTACTTCTCGATACATGGTTAGTTCTCTCCCTGTGTTGTCCGCTCCCAGTTTGGCATTCGCATCATCCATTAGAATTTTGATGTCACCAACTGGGGTGGGGTCTTGTCCTATACTGATTGCAGTTGTCTGTAGAATTTCTCCTTCTTCTCTTCATCTGCATTATTTGTAGGTGCATGCATAGCGTAGCATTGTATAATTGTGACTTTCCTTCCTTTTGATTTGAACCTTGCTGTCATGATCCTTATCTTTGAGGAGATTGGTTCCCACTGTGTGAGGGCCTTCGATACTGTTAGGAGCATCACGATATCTACTCGAAAACTCAGTATCCTCGTGGTTGTCGTGTGAGTGACAATATCGGAGTAGATTATTGGCTCCTCTCCAGCTGACAGTTTGGAGAGTCCACTTCCACTCCTTTCGATTTGTTTTCGCAGATTCCAAGCACTTCTATACAATACCTTCTCATCTCTTCTGCAATCTGGACTGCCTTGCTAGGTTTAAACGTAGTGTGGACATTCCGTGTCCCCATGTTTACTTTCGCTTTCATCGAGGGAAAGAAGGTACATTGGCCAACTGGCTTCCCGAAGGCTTTGACCAGTCGGCGTCATTTGCCTCATCATTTGCAGCAAGAAATAAGTTTAATTTTATTTTTTATATTTTGTTTGTGCTTTGAAGTTTCTTTAGCGACTGGACTTGTTTTATGGGGTAGGGTTGATATGCCTATGCCAAACCTTTCCTCTTTATCAGAGTTTAGGACTGGCTAGTAACTAGTGAACTAGTTAACCAGTAAACATTTGCTAACCGAATTACTGCATGGTATCTTTTTTGGCTGGGAACGGTACCTTTTAGCCAGGGACTTGTTCAAGGTATAAAAGTACAATTTCAGCACTGAAGTAGATTGTAATTTCAGTATAATTTGTCTGTTAAAGAGATCATACAATGAAACGGTATTATTTACTGGATAAGGTGTTGGACACCATTCATTTTCCATGATCATATCAAGATAACTTCACAACCCTTAGATAGGTGTTTGTTTTTCCACTTTTCTCCGACTCGATTGTGATATCGGCAGAAGAATTTTTCAGATATATGGACCAGGTAAATGTATTTGGTGTTAGTTCGATAGACAAAGATTCAGTTTCAAGTTGCGATTCATCATGAACTGATGTCGATTGGAGTTTAAATGAGAAGTCATGACCGCTGGGGTAAACGTTTTTGGATGTGAGGGCAAATACTCAACGATGAGATTGGGTCATGGTGGCGCTATGTCGTGAACTGACAGAAGTAGGAAATATGGAGCACGGTATTTTGACCCGGTGGCTCAACGGTAACGTCTTGGCCACGGAACCTAAAGGTGCTGGGTTCGAGCCGTGGCAGGATGGGGTCATGGATGCAAACTGCTTAGGAGTCCCAGATTAAGACGAAACAGGTGTCCAGTGCTCCCACCTTTTCAATGTCCCTCCAACTGATGTCAATCGATGATGAATACCAACTTGAAAAATCACTAAATCCCCACAAACCCTTAAATTGAAAAATTCAGTTATCAATTTACCTCTCCTCGCAAGTCATTTGTGCTTTATCACTGACAAGTCAATTTCGAATATGATTTATTGAGTTGAAGATTAACTTTTATGTTGTATGCTTCCTTCAGAAAAAAGAATACTAATCATCTAAGTAGATGTTTTATTTTCGTATGAGTTAGCAGCCTTGCACATGTCTATGCAGTTGGCAGTCATTCACATCTAATATTAGTACCACCTGTCTGCCCAGAGTTCAGTAGGTGAAACGGCGTTCGAACCCACAACCTATCGAATGAAAGTCAACTCTCTAGACCAATGAGCCAGGAGCTACCACAGTCTGTACTTCGAATCTTAAATGATACCCCTTATATTTTCGTACTAAATGTTTCAATAGCTGTTGAACAATGAATACAATTCCCGCGCAACATAAAACTTCGTAAGATATATATATATATATATATATATATATATATATATATATATATATATATATATATATAACGTATATCCTAGTATTTTTCAACATCTTACCTTTCACAGAAAATGTATCAACAATTTGATTTGAATAAACCAACCATTTCAAATTTGTTGTTTCACTGGATGATGAAGTCAAAATGATTAACTGAGTTATTAAATAGACACAGAGAATTATCGGATATGTTGTGATGAGCAGATTCAATTTCATACAGCGTAAATAATACTCCGCATGTTTACCAGTCCAGGTAGTCATATTATCCATCACATTGCGTTAAAGGAGAATATTGTTATGAAACGATAATAGTAATACTGATAATCACAGATAGATATTTACACCACTTATCGTATGATTTAAGCATAGCACAGTCTCCTGAGAATTTAAACTATTATTATTGAGTTGATTAATCAATAAACATCAATATTGAAATTGAAATTGACCTTAATACTTCGAGTAGTGGAAATATTTTGAATATTTTACACTGTAAACCGCACAATCAAATTTTGCTTTATACAATGAGAAGATAGAACAGTAGGTGATAGCAGAAACTTGTGCATTTTGAGACGATCGATAGACAAACAGACAATTTAAAAAGCACCAATAATCTTGATTTATTCTGTGTGTTCAAGGTCAGAAAGGGTGAATGAAGCTATGGTTGAGCATCATATATATTTCTCAAATACTAGTTTGATTGTTAGTGACGGCCCGTATGTTCAGTCACTTTAAAAGTGTGTAAGAAACGAAAAAAAAATAATGTTAAGAAAAAACTGAAAAAATCATATGCAACTTGAGTTTATCCACAGGAATTCCATTCCACAATACGAAGCGTATTTGGTTATTTAAATCAATCGTCAAAATACTTGGCTAAATAGATTGGGAAGACTATGAAAAGATAAAAGAAAACAAAAGTACTAGAAGTTTAATATTCGACTGACTGAGTAGATAAATTAATATTTTTTTATTGACAAAAAGGGTTCAAATATCGAACTGCACTGAGTATACTCATATGTTCTTTTTAATGCTTTTTTCTAGAGAGTGTCGGGTACTTTTCTGATCATAGAAAAGCAGTAACTGGGTTCTTTTCTCTACTTCTTGAATGCAACACTTGTTGACAAGAATATGAAAGCGAATATGACAATAAAAGAACAAATAGGTTTTCGGCGATATCAACCTCTGCAGCTGCACAATCGCATTTAAAAATAGTTAACTATTGTGCTTAATAATGTCAATATTTGCTGTTCAGTGCTCTCAGATTTTTAATGGTTCTCTAACTGATGTCAGTCCGTAATCAATACAACCTTGATACAGGTAAAATCCTCATTAACCTCAGAATATATTACTGTATAGTGCTCATTAGTGTCATGTTTCCAGATGGATATCCCGAAGTTATGATGAGAGGTCGTGAGGCCTACGGTCAACTAATCGAAAGGGAAGCGGATGGTCAACACGTTCGTCTTGAAACCTTAAGGTCCCGGGTTCAATTCCAAGACGGGTAGTGGGTGCATACTGCTAAGGAATCCCATACTAGGAAGAAGCAGCTGTGGAGTACTCTCCAGGCTTCCAATGGCTCTCCAGCTGATGAATACTAACTTGAAACCAATGGAATTCTGCACAAACCTTCACGTTGAATAACATGGAAGTCTTGCGGTCATGGGATTGATAATCTAGTCAATGAAACAGGCGGTCAGTAACAAGGAGATCAACAGTTTGAATTTTTTACTTTAACACAGATTATTTTGCAACCACATTCAGCTTTCCCTTAATGTTTCTTTGTTGAAAAACGTTGTCCCTGCCTTCTTTCAGCTGTATGTACGGCTTTTGTAACTTATATATGATGTTAATATCCACTGACTTAAACCTTTTTGCCTGGTGTCTTCCCCTGTCAGTAGTTTTAGCTAAAAAAAATTATAAATCTGGAAGCAGTTTTCATTAGAAATCGATTACAGGCAGAGATTAACCGAAAAATCAAGAAGCAGTGGATAGATCTTTCATCTCAACTTGAAAATCAGTTAGCAGTGTGTGTGGGCATAGTTTCATGAGTCACGGGGCTAAAGATTGACATTGGCAATTAGTCAACGCGGTGGAATTTAATTGTTCAATATATGCAGTTTGTCTCAATTCATAACTTCTTAACTGAAGTTACTTTGTGTGTTTCTGAGTTCGTTTATCTCAAAAAGCCTCTGTCGATGTCATTTGATTTCAGCACTGTTATTATGTGATTCCGCTAGCCTGACCAACCTGTTAGAGCATTTTAAAGCATATTTTAAATGGCTGCGAGTTCACGCTTATTCGACAGACGTCAGACATAACTGCATACCTGACACTGACATTATCTGAATAACAGTTTAGCTACTTATGAGTAGTTTAAAATATTGGTAAAAATATGAAACATTTGAAGTTTCCTGGAGCTTCCAATAAGTTGTCATTTTTACGAGAAATCATCAAATGTTTCTTTCAGAAAATAATTTGACAACACTCCACCTGGAATGAAGTAATATACAGGGTATATATTTATAAAGAGTGCTTGATAATGACTGTCATACCAATGAAATCGTGGTTTATTTCTTTGAATGATTAACTTGAAAATGGCTTCATTGAAACACCAACCGAAGGTTTAAATGAAATACAAAAACTGAAAGGCATTTAACACTGATTCTGTGAACTTGATACATAGAGGATATTCTCAACAGGTACAATGGCGGACATGCGGCATCATTATAACTCTGAAGTAATGCAGATGTGAAAAACCGGATCTTAAAAGAAAATTTGAGCTGGAATGTTTTTATCAGACAAGAGGCAAATACTTGATCTTCCTCCAGTCAAAAAGGTGGTTCCGATTTTGAATGAAAAATTATTTAGCTTATATTTTTCTACGGATGATAATCTTCAGTCTTATAGTATCCATCCAACAGAAATAAACAACATTGATGCATGTCCTCTGTTATACTCAAATGCGGACGGATTACTGACCAGTAGGTTACCAACTTTCTAGGTCAAGAATGGATTCCTACCGATTAAATTCAAACAAATAGAGCCCAAACAGAGTGAGATTCAATGTCATGTTATTTCGCTCAATAGACACATTGTAGAACTAGATCGACAGCCTTCGATCAGTGCTGAACACTAAGAGCTAAACAGCTGCATCAGGGAATTCTTCTTAGGCTAACTATCTTCATGGTAGTGCATTAACTGTACTGATGAGTGTCGACAAGCTCAAAATCCAGTTCGATCAAAGCTTCCTGACAACTGACTAACTAGAGCAAGCAAATACATTTATTTTTAAATGAATTAAAGGGATATTTATTTGTAATCTAAAATTTTATTTACTAAAAATCATTCATTTCTGCATCGCCTCTAAGCCTCCAATAATATTTGCTTACTAAAAATGAACATTAATTTTGTATCCTTATAAGTATGCTGATACCTCCTTCACTCGTTTGCAATCTGGGCTGCCTTGCTAGGTTTAAACGTAGTGCGGACATTCCGTGTCCCCTTGTTTACTTTCTCTTTCATCGAGGGAAAGAAGGTACATTGGCCGATTGACTTCCCGAAGGTTTTCACCAATCGGCGTCATTTCACTCCTCCGATTCCAGTGAGGAATAATCTTGTTTTTATTTTTTATATTTTGTTTGTGCTTTGAAGCATTTTTAGCGGTTAGATTTGTTTTACGGGGTAGGGTTGGTAGCAGTATGCCCAACCATCCCTTTTTACCCGGGCTTAGGACCGGCTAGTAACCAGTGAACTAGTTAACCAAGCGACCTGGCCGCGGAAAAGAAGCTAGAAGATTCGGATTTCGCCAGTGATGACTTGTGTCCAATGTCGTACAAACTCGAATATCCACAGGCGAAAACTAACAAGTTGACAGAAGAGGAAGGGCAAGGCAGGGCAGAGAAAACGGGACTTCAAGCAAATATAGAGAAGACAGAGGTGATGAAGATACCCAACCAACAACACCAACACCACCACCACCAACAACAACAACAAACTCCAATCACCATCAATGGGAGAAACCTAAAGGAAGTAGCCTCCTTCACCTATCTAGGAAGCACGTTTTCAACTACAGGTGGTATAGGCACTCGTGAGAACGTCAAAGACAACCAGCATAGGAAAGACAGCAAGACAGACGTTCATTAACACGAAACCCATATGGAGATCTTCTGCACTCAGCACAAAGCGTGAACAACATCCGGATTCTAAACACCAACGTCAAATCAGTGCTTCTATGTGGTGGTTCAGAAACTTGGTGCATCACGAAAACCACTTCCAACAAACTACAGACATTCATCAACAACTGCCGCCTACGCCGGCTCGTTACTGAAGATCACATGGACAGAAAAACAAGAATAAGCAACAAGGGACTCTGGAAACGGACGAACCAACGAAGCAAGAACCTATCACTCAACAAATATGCACTGGAAGGAAGTGGAGATGGGTTGGAATGGGCATACACTGAGAAGGCCGACTGGGGACATCACGCGTCAGGCCAGCGCCTCGAGTGGAACTCCGATGGGAAGTGACGAGTTGGGCGTCCCAGCTGAGGGTGACATGGAGGAGATCGTGTGAGGAGGAAATGAGAGCATGTGGGCTGTCGTGGAGGCAGGTTCAAAAGATTTCAGAGAAGAGAGCGCATTGGAGATGTGCTATTGAATCCCTATGTTCCATTAGGAACCCAAGGGACAAATAATAATAATAATAATAATAATAATAATAATAATAATAATAATAAGTATGCTGATCAAATAATTACTATATAGGAGGTCGTTAATGGATCACTTGTGCGGATGAGAAGTTTGGAGGTGATTCATATTAAATCTGATTACAGTAAGTCGTGGTTCAAGTCCACTGACGTTGCTGTAAAAATTCTGCTAGCCATACCAGAGGGATCCCAGGCACCTGACATCATTTTCGTTAAATTCAACCTGATATCTTCTATGCTGCATGCAGGCAAACTCATCTGACTTTCATCTTCCTGATGAAGTCTATAGACAGACACAGATGGTTTTCTAACTACTTATTTTAGTCTATAGTACATTTGATGGAATTTAGCCGATTTCAAAGTGGTCACCTTATCAATTGAATTTCCTGAGAAGATAAACTGAATGCTAAGTAATACTCGATAACTGTATCACTCTACCTTGTAGCAAACTGAATTAATTCAGTAATCGACTAGTGTTAGGGTTTGAAAGATCCTCTAGCTGTCGGAACCATCTAATGGATAGAAAGTTAGAATGAACCCTTCACAAAGATTGGTAACTTTTTTCTCA